AGATCTTGGAGCAGACGTAACGGTGATCGGGGTAGACGCTTGGGACAAGGTTGGTCGGCCGCAGCTTTCTGAGTACGGAATCAAGTGCACAGGAGTCAGCGGTGAGCGTCTTCAGATTCTGGGGTGCTTCAGAGCGAAAGTTGGACTCGGCTCGGTGGATGCGGCTGACGTGGTCGTAGTGTCGCCTCGCGTAAAGGTACCTCTCCTTGGGGGAGTACTTCCTTATTCACTGGGGTTAGTCTCGCTTGCGCCGGTAGTCGAAGTCGCAGGAATTTCATCAGTTCCGATTGAAGCGTTGAAGACGGAATTCCCCGAGCTGTTCAAGGAAGGTTTAGGAAGATGCACGAAGGTTGAGGTCACCCTTCCGATCAAAGATGGTGTTGTGGCCACGCATCTCCCGGCGGGACCCATCGCGATTCCGCTCCAGGAAGCGGTAGAGAAAGAGTTGAAGCGTCTGGTCGACAATGGCACGCTGTCTCCGGTGGAAGTCTCGGAGTGGGCAACGCCAATCGTGGTGGTACGCAAGCCGAACAATCAAATTCGAATGTGTGCCGATTTTTCGACGGGGCTCAATGCAGCTCTGAAAGAGGTCGATTACCCGATTCCGACCATGGAGGTCATCATGACAAAGTTCACCGGAAACAGGCGGTTGACACAGCTGGATCTTTCGGACGCATATCTGCAATTATCATTGGATCCAGAGAGTCGACCGCTAACGACGATCAACACGCATAGAGGGTTGTTCCAGTATAACCGTATGGTGTTTGGTTTGAAGACGGCGCCGGCCATTTTCCAGCGCACAATGGAGCAAGCTCTGGCTGGGATCGATGGAGTTTTGGTATACCTCGACGATATCCTGGTGATGGCTCCGAATCAAGAATCACATGATAGACGACTCCGGGGAGTTCTCGCCCGTTTACAGAGCTGGGGGTTTCGTCTGCGTTTCGCAAAGTGCTCCTTTGATGTCGGCTGCGTAAAGTATCTCGGCTTGATTGTTGACGGGAAAGGAATTCGTGCAGATCCCTCTCGAGTTGAGGCGATCAGGCAGCTGCGCGAACCTTCGAATGCTGCAGAGGTTCGTTCTTTTTTGGGTCTCGTGAACTATTATGGAAAATTCATCGATCAGCTGCACCGGCACAAACCTGCTCTGGAGTCTCTTCTCCGCAAAGATGTACCTTTCGTTTGGTCAAAAGAGGCGGCGAAGGCGTTCGAAGCCATCCGCGAGCTCTTATCAGGACCGTTGCTTCTTGCTCACTACGATCCGCAACAGACCTTGGTAGTCGCCGCGGATGCGTGCGAGACAGGCATCGGGGGAGTTCTGCTCTTGAGGTACCCCGACGGCTCGGAAAAGGCGGTATTTCACTTGTCAAAGGCTTTGACTCCGGCGCAGCGAAACTATTCTCAGATCGAGAAGGAGGCTTTGGCCCTCATCACAACGGTAGAG